AAAAAAAAAAAAAAAACTAATGAAGCCCCAAAATCCTAATTTGAATTTGCAAATTTATTAAACATTATTAATGTTTCTCCATATTACAAAATTGACCAAGGACTAAATTGCCATTTAATCAGAATTTATTAATTTGCAATCAAGCTCCTAGGAAATATCTAATTCTCAAAATGCTGCCCATGGAAATTATGAATTTCTCAACTGCTGAAAATCACGCAATGCATCCAATCCTTCATCTCCAGCCCTTGCTATCAGATCTATGGTGGTTGTGATCAGTTTTCTGGCGCCGGGACGGGCAGACGTGGCTGTAGGGATGGCAGTGACGTCGCCGGCGCATCATCCTCGTCAAACAGTGACGGCGGAGCGACTGTCACGGCGGCAAGGAGAGCGCCTGCTGTTGGCGGCGTGGTCGAGAGGTGGCTGAGTGTTATGCCGGTCAGAGGCGACTGGTGGTGGCTGAGGTCTGTGCGCGGCGGCTCTCTGATGGGACAACGACTGGAGGCTCTTCGACGGGACGACGGTGGCGGTTGCGGCGGGCCTCCGTGAATGGTCGGTGGCGGCGTGCCCGACGGGGTTTCTGTATGCATCCCCCCGTGAAAAGTGTCTGTGTGTGCCGTGAAAAGTTTGTGTTTGTGTGTGTGTGTGTGAGAGAGAGAGAGAGAGAGAGAGAGAGAGAGAGAGAGAGAGAGAGAGAGAGAGAGAGAGAGAGAGAGAGAGAGAGAGAGAGAGAGAGAGAGAGAGAGAGTAGCCTGGTAGGTGCAGACGGGTGGGATCTGGGGAGGTGTAATGTTTTAATTGGGGTGGAGCCCACTAATATGATGGATATTTATTTGGTGTGTGATTAAATGTCACTATTACCCTTAATGAAGGTATAATTTTGACTTTTATTTAGCCATTAGATCATTCGATTTAATGGCTAAAATTTATTCTTATTTCTTTCCTAGAGCACCATTCTCACCGGAGCGTGACCCTATATATATATATATATATATATATATATATATATATATATCATATGAGAATAGTAGATAGTGAAAGAAATAAGAATGATTGTAAACCATTAAATCCAACATATCAATGGTCATGATAGAGTCAAATATTACTAATTAAAGTCAAACTCATTAAGGATAATTTAGTCATTTGATATTCATTAAGGACAATAAGGTCATTTCAATAACACCCACCTACCCTACCCCACATACCCTACCCACTTTTATCTCTCTACAGCTTCTTCTCCACGACTCACACACACACACATACACGCAGTTAACACAGACACACACCACGCACACCACACACACACACACACCTCTATCACCCGTCCTCCTCCCGCCGCCCATTATCCGCATCCGCCATGGCCGTCGCCGCCGCATACAGAGAAGCCCGCCATTGGCCCCGCCACCGTCACCGGCCCCGACGCCCACCGCCGAACCCACCGTTGTCACCATTGACCGGCCGGCGCTCAAATCCGGTGCTAACAGCATGAAATCCGTCGCCATTGACCTGTCGACGGCCAAATCGATGAATCACGCGGCGGTTCTTTCTCTCGATCCCTCCTCCGACGCCAATGGCCTGCGATTCGGCAGACAAATTGTTGCCTCTTCACGACCCAGAGCGAGCTGCCGTCAGAGCTCTTCAAATCCCTTTCCTTCCTGAGCGCCTCCTCGTATGGAATTTGCCTCCGCCGGCGATGGCGGTGCTTAAGTGGCGAGGAGATTTCACCAGTTCTGAATTCGGGGGAGTGGATCTACATTTGGATCTTGGATTGTTATTCAATAGATATTTTATTTCATTGCCCGATTTATTTTTTGATCTTGGACTGTGATTTCGATTTGACCCAGGCATGTGAGGTGTTGTTATTGTTTTGGATTTTGGGGTGTGTTGGGGGGTTTTCAAAACGAGATGTTTTGTTTGTAATTTGGGTCAACTTTTGAGAATTTGATAAGTATCAGGTACTTAAGTGCAATTTTAGAAATGTTTGATATATTACAATTCAATTTATGTGTTAAATATGTAATTTATTAAAAAATTAACAAATGTACATTATTGTTCAAAGCATTGCACATTAATGTTTAAATCATCGCACATTACTGTTCAATTCATTGCATATTACAGTTGGTCAATTCATTGCATATTACAGTTGGTTCATTACAGTGATAAATAAAATGTACAATGTGTGTGTGTGTATACATCAAATTCATTGAAAAAATAAAATATTATTTGATGAATGCACATTATAAATTGAATAAATAAAACATTATTTAAGTAGTTTTGGTTTTTTTAGTTACTTGAAAAAATAATGCCGACCTCAAATTGAAATAATCGTGACTTTAGACGAAAGAACAAATTATCGAAACGATAAAATTAGTTTAATCGATTAAGTGCAATTCGACAATCATTAACGTGCAATTCATATAACAGTATAGTGCGTTTACAATATTGTACTTACAGTGCATATACTTTTTTAATAATTTGTGTAACCCAAATTAAGATCGAATCTAAATAATCGGTAATCGAAATACTATAAAAAAATATAAATAAATTAATATTTTAATTATAAAAATACATTTAGTATTTTTAATATTTATATTTAATATTTATATTTTTTTAGCTGAAAAATAAATGTTATTTATATATATAAGTTATTTTTATATAGCTAGTTGGTTTGATTATTTTGGTTATTTTTTTTTAAAAATAATGTCTATATTGAACTGACATAATATATATTTTACAAATAAAAATAGATAATTGAGCCGAAATATATGATTTCAAAACGAAAATGTTAGTTCATTCAATTTCGTTTATTATGTGCAATTCATCTAACACTATGGTGCATCTTGGAAGTCGTTCAAGTGCAATTCATACAACACTACTGTGTTGTCGCAGCGTATTTATTATTTCTTATTTATAAAAGTATATTTATTATTTTAATATTTTTTAAATGTTCAAATTTTACATTTTTAAAAATTTTAAACTCTGTATACTTTATATATCATTAATATGCATTTATGAGATATTTCTATAATGGAAACAAATCTTTAGTTCATTCAGTGTCAGTCATTATGTACAATTCGTCTAACATTATATTGCAACTTCGTAGTCTTTAAAGTGCAATTCGTCTAACATTATTGTGCAGTCGCAGTGTATTTATTATTTATTAATATAATAGTATATTTATAATTTTAATATTTTTTATATATTAGAATTTTTAAACTTAGTACAATTTATTTATCATTAATATGCATTTATGAGATATTTCTATAAATTACATATTCGGGCATGAACTGAATTAAAAAATACTATAAAGTAATAAAATTATAAAATTCTCCCTCAATACTATCTAAAATCAATCAAACCTCAAATCCTTAACATGAGTTTGCAAATTTATTACACATTTATCAAATTTTCTAAAAATACACATTAGGCACATGTATCAAATTGAAACATATTCAATCTTCATTTATTTGAAAATTTAGCCCATGTGCTAAATTGAAATATAGAACAAATCTGGAATTACAATTTAGTCCCTATGAAATATCAAATTTTCAACCACAAGTCCCCCTCCAAAATCAATATCTACATATTTGCATCAGGAACCACTCGCCGAGGAAAAGGTAACTTTTACCGTCTGACTCACATCGACGCGACGCTGAACAACCGAAGCTCTGCAACGACTCCGGCGAGTGCCCTGCTGGTCGTGGTCGCCGACGAGATTGGCTCTGTTGGTCGTGGTCGCCTCCGTTGTGACATCTCTGCTGGTCATGGACTGAATCTGGCTCGACTCCTTCAATTGACCTCCACCCGCACCTGTCGTCCTCACCTCGCCACCGCCGTCGTCGCATTTATCCGGCGGATTGTTTGCTCCGGTGGCCGACGACGGTTTTACGACTCCTGAGCATGTCTTTCGTCGCCGGGGATGCTGATGTGGCCGCCATCGCCATCGAATTTCGGACGTCGGAGAGTGAGTGCGAGAGGCGCCGGTGAGCTTCGATTTCCGATTCTAGAGCCTGTGTTTATTAGTCTGTGTGTGTATGTGTGTGTGTGTGTGAGAGAGAGAGAGAGAGAGAGGGAGACGTGTAAAGGAGATCGATTGGTTTGCGTGTGTAATGTTTGTGTGTAATGTGTTGCTTTATTTCTAGTGGGTCCCAAAGATTACTAGTTGCTTGTGTTTATTAATTGCCAATTACACATTTACCCCCTGTAGTTATGCAAGTATGGGCTGCTTTGTGCGGTTGATTAATTTAATTTTGTGGTCAAGATGCATTCTCATTTCTTTCGTTGAGAATCATTCTTATGTGAACCCAACCCTGTACATATATATATATATATATAGAAGTGCGCTCAAATGAGAAAGAAACACAATGAAAGAAATAAGAATGAATTTGGTCCATTAGATACATCATATCAATGGTTAGAATAGAGTCAAATTTTAGTCAATCGCTAATGGCAATATAGTATTTTAACATAAATATTATGATCAAATATCCCAATTAAGGATAAATTAGACTTTTTAAATAATCCCCTCACAGGTGGGACCCACCACCATCCATCCCCCTAAAACCAATACTTTCCCACACGCCCACGACCCTTCCTGCACGACGCCGCCCGTAGTTGCCGGTCGCCGCCGATCGCCGCCGTCTGTGTCTCTCTCTCTGTTTCCGACTCGCTCTCTGCCAATCACATGAAACCAACGATTCGCCGGTGAGCTGATTCTCGGCCGAAGCCCCCTGCCACCAGATCCAACGCCTTCCACCGCTGCGCCACCATCCTTGCTGTTCTCCGTCACTGCCGCCACCATCCTTACTGTTTTCCGCCACTGCCGCCAGCCACACAAAATTCGACACGATGGCATTTTGCGAAAGCGAGGTTCGGGCCAACCTCACCTACGGAAGCCTCATGGGAGTCGAGGGGCTTTCGCAACAGGAGGTCTTTCTACGGCTTCCGGTCAAGGATATAATCGTCGGCGAACCGGGTTCGAGCCTTATACTCATCGATATAGGCATTGCACATAAGCAGTTGTCGTTGTCTGTATTTGAGAACCCACCTGATTGCAGTGCTGAAAGTGAGTCAAGATTGATTTTTTATCACTCCCATGTTTTTTTTTATTATTATTATTTCAATTTCAAAGCTGCCTTTTTTTTTTAGTTGACTCCCCTGTTTTATGTCTCAATTTAAAGCTGTCTTTTTTTTTTCTTTTTTTTTT